TTCGCATTTAAATTTTTGTAAATCCATTCGAGCCCTATTATAATCACGAACTTTTACCGCGGCTTATTATGCAACAGCCGACACGCCGTTTGACGATAAGACCTCACATTTTACAAACATATTTATAATATTCGCCAATGTCGAAAGGAGCATACAATAGAGATAGATAATACGGTATCACGTGAATTGTGTGATATTGAATTCTTAATCGACCTCTACTCCGCTCTCACAAGTTCTTATTGCACGAAATGCGTGCGAGTACATATCCAACGAGAACAATGATAATTATCGCTTGATCAATCCGCGAGGAGCTCAAGACACAATTTACATATGAGTCCGTATTATTCGATCGGCTCGCTTACGCAAATTATCATCCATTGCTGGTGGTGGCGCGCGACTGACAAAAAAGTCGGGACCATTAAAACGGAACGGAACGGAACCGAAGGCTCGTGGATGCATCAATCTTGAACTTGGGCTTTCATTAGTTTGGAGAGTCGCGATAGGGATCGAGAGCGAGGCTGCTAGCGAGCATAGAGCGAGACGAAAGAATCGAGCCGTAGAATAAGGGGCGCCGTGGTCCTCCGGGCGAAAAGCTTATCAATGGTCGGGCAGCGTCGCGTCAAAGTCTTGAGAAAACAGCCCGTGACGCTTTTCCGGCGCGTTTCCCGTAAGCACGGCCGCCGATAGATAACGGAAGCTCGATAGGGTGGCCGAGCGCGTGGCAACACCAGAAATGAGAAATGTCTTTGCTCCCCCCCCCCCCACTCCCATTCCCCTCCCCCACCCCCCTCCTCATCATGCCACACCGCACCCTCATACCTCTCGCCGTCATCCCGCTCCGGATGGCGCTCGAGATTAAAGATTTTCTCGTTCTCTCGTCTCAGTGGCGTGAAAAAACGGAGGCGACGCCCCTCGATGTTCTCGCCAGTCTCTCGCTTCTTAATAAAGTTTGCTTGGCGCTTTCATTGTGTCGGCCGTTTTGCGGTGACTTGACAGCCTTTCACTTTTTCAATAACGGGCGGCTCTTATTTCCACGCTCCCCGGCCGCTTGTCTTTTTCATCGGATTCGCGTTAAACCGATCTACCACCCCCCACTAACCGTCTAACCCCCCCCCCCCCACCCCACCCA